CTTCCTTGTCCCCTCCAGGCGCTCCCCCAAACCCTTCCTGAAGAAAGAAACAAGGGCCAGCTGCCCTGGATTTCAGGTGGTTGTAGGGCCGAAGAGGTGCCTCTCCACCTTCCATTTATCTTGGTCTATGCCTCTGTTTCCCCAGTTCTTGATAAGCTGCACCAAGGGTGGCCTTTTGTTGCGCAATCTCTCTTGTGTGAAGCAGCCACTTAAAGCACCCCAAGAGTTGGGGGGTGGTCATGGTGGAGGATGCGTTTGAGCAATACCCTACATGGTGCTACCCAAGCGGCATCCTCTTGAACAACTTTCCCCAGCCTAGTGCGTGCCAGAAGTTGGTCCACAACTTGCATCCTTTGCCAACTATCTGGAGAGCAACCAGGGGTTGATAAAAGCCACTCTGAGTTACTGCAGTGTGTTTTCCCAAGATGGGTTTGCCAGCAAATGTCTGAGTTGGGGGGTCCTTTGTTTTCTTGATACCTATCACCCCTTGCGTGATACCAAGTTGTCTGACTCCTGCCCAGTCTCTTCATCGGATGCAGAAGGAGTGCTACTTGTACCAGTGGCAAACTGAAACCCTCCCTCCGTTTCCCCTGAAATGTGCTTCCATTTGTGGATTTGGGTGTGCATGTGTGTGCTTAGTTTCCTCTGCATTTGACACCAGGCCTTCTTCTACACATCTGAGTCTTGCCCTGTGCTTCCCTCCTCCCTTTGCAAATCCTGCCCAATGAACTAATCCCTCTCTCTAGGCTGCAAATGGTTGCACCGGGATTAGTTACCTTGCCTGAGTAAATACAAAGTGTTCAAACCCTTCACTGGAGCTGAAACAATTCATCTGTCCTTAAAACTGTATCGTAGATCATAAAAATAACTTGTATAAACCCTTGCTGTTTTAAGCAGAGTAAGTAACCCATTCACAAATGATGACTCACACAGACCCATTCAGTTTTCATTTGCTGAATGAATCTTAAGCACTGAACAATGTTACAGTAGACAGTAAATGCCACGAGAGTCCAGAAGAGGGCGTGGAGAGTGAAAAGAGTCATAGGAAAGAGCTGAAGTTAGGTTTCCGTGAAAATCCCACTCAATAATGGTTTTTTACCTTTACCCCAAGAAGCAGAAGACACAGTAAGGATTAATATACACCCTTAATTACCAAAACATAGCATCCCAATTATGCAAACAGTTAGTTGCACATTTTAACGTACAGCGTTTGCATTATGCATTCTTACTTTTAGGCTGGTTTATGCATACTTAATTTTATGCTGTCTTTGCCACTTCAGTCTATAATCTGTATTTTAATCAGTAGAATCATGGTTTTCGCTGGCATAAGTTGCCTACATCCAGTTCTTAGGGAATCAGCAAGTAGCTTTGCTGATTCCCTAAGTGATGGGAAGTTCCTCCTGCTAAATTTATACTAAGCCTTTCTCCATTAATAACGCTCGAGTTTACTTCAGTTATGAAGTGAGTTAGCTTTTCTTTTTATTGATTTTCTCTTTAAAATCTAAGCCTTGTTTTTCCTTCTAGTCTATTAGCAAAGTAGTTTTTCCTTGTTGGAACAAGCTACCAAACTGCTTTTAGAGATAGCAGTCATATGTTGTTGATGCCCCAAAGCCAGCAGTTCATCATATATCCTCCCACTCCCAATCCTAAACCCAGCACCTTTTGAGTGGCTGCCTGTTTCAGGAAGTTCTACTTCCTTAGTCCCGTCATGTTATAAATATTTGGGGACTTCCCCATGTCCTAATCATTTCATTTCTCTTTACTCTCAGAAATGAACATCTGCTCTTGAGTAACTCGGAGTCATGGTCTGGCTTTAGAAATCTCCTTTTGCCAAATCTGGCAATGTGATGGAATCTTACTGCTAAGGCTATGAGAGGGACCCCAATTGGTCATGAATGAAGGCAAACGTACGTGTCTCAGGATAACGTTGCAGAATCCAATCAGAGTCAGTCACCGGGACAAGAGATTTAATCTCCCAAGCTTCCGGACTCGCGCTGGAGCCCATCCTCGGGGAACTCCTCTCTTAACATTCTGGTGAGAGGGAAATTCATGTTGAGGATGGGCTCCAGCACAAGTCCAAAAGCTCAGAAGACTAAATCTCTGGTCCTGGTGACCAACCCAGATGGGACCCCAATTTGTGTCTTGTGACCATGGCGTTCTTCTCTCCCGCGCCCATCCAGCTTTCAACGGAGAGTTGAGTGGCATGTCGAGTGAGCCTTGAAAGTCTATGCCATTAAACCCCAAATTCATCATAACAGTTTAGGCAAGCAGTAGCCTCTGATGGGGTGGGGGGGGGGAAGAGGAGGTTCTGGAGACCTTTGATACTGCTTTCCCTTCGTGTGGCTTTTCAAGAGGGAGAGACGTTGAACGTATTCAGCAGTTGAACATCTTCCTAGGAGGACCTGCGCGTGGAATGTCGCCTCCGTTTGGTCCTTCTGCATGCTCCCAAATACGGAATGGATCACCTCCTCCTCTTCCTCCTCCTCGTTGGAATCTAACTCCCTCTTTTGACTTTGTGCCTTCTTGTATATATAGGTTGATGATCATGGTGGCCAGGACCTGCTCTCTACTAGTGCTGCTGCTTTATCACACGCTGCTAGGGGGCTCTGCCAGTCTCATCCCCGAGGTGGGCGACCGGCGAAGATTCAGTGCTGATTTGGGCCAGCCGGCTCCGCTGCAGCTCTCGGAAGAAATCCTGCGTAAATTTGAACTGCGTCTGCTCAGTATGTTTGGGCTTAAGCGGCGGCCCACCCCAACCAAGAATGCTATTATCCCTTCCTATATGTTGGAGCTCTACCATCTGCACACGAGTCAGAAGCCCACGTCCATGGACTATAGCCTGGAGAAGGCGAGCAGCAGAGCCAATACGGTCAGGAGCTTCCATCACGAAGGTAAGGAAAATGAGCTATTTATCGAGCTCCCACTTTGGATAACCTGATCCAGTTAAAATGAAATACTACTCATATTTAACATTAATATTTTCATACTAAATATTCTGACTTGAATATTTGCAAACCCGCAGCTCTGGTTTGCTAAGATATATTCCTGACAGTCACTTACAAAGTAATACCTGCCCTTTAAATAATTGCAAGCCCCTTCCTTGCAGGTATATATATTTTCCTGATTGAGTGATGGATCATCCTTGGGCCCTGCTGCAATGGAGATCAAATTGAATCCCTAATTATTATTTTTTTAAAGATGTAGACAAGTTGAATTTGGCCAGTTTGAAAATGATCCATTTAAACGTAAGACTATTTTGTTACCCATCTGTGCAAAAGAAACAAGAAATTACCCTAGGTTTCCCTGAAAATAAGACCAGGTCTTATATTAATTTTTGTTCCAAAAGACTCATTAGGGCTTATTTTCTGGCTAGGGCTTATATTCAGGGACGTACGGTACTAAATGCGTCCGTCTGGCTGACAATCTTAACTGGGGCTTATTTTTCGGGTGGGGCTTATATTACGAGCGTGCTGAAAAATCATGCTAGGGCTTATTTTCCAGTTGGCTCTTATTTTCGGGGAAACATGGTACTATAGAAAATGCTAGTGGGTGAAATGTAATTGTCCCTTTTGATATCATCTCTGCTGAAACTTCTTTATGTGCGAGTAGTACAAGCTGTGCCTGAGCAGTTTACAAAATCAACTGGTATTCCAAAAGAGTGTTGGGGAATTTATGTCTTTCCAGATTGTGGTGAGTCACATTTCCCAATATTCCACGTTATAGGCTGGGCCTGCTGGAAGTTGTAGTTCAGCAACAGCTATGGGGCCAGTGCTTTCCCAAATCCCACCTGAAAACCAGGGCTAGAGCCTTAATAGTGTGTTCATGGATATGCCTCTTAGATTTCTGTTTTCTGTACAACCTTCCAATAGGCGTTGGAAACTTTCAAGCATATAGACATCAATATGTTTAAATCAGCATGGAGATGACTCCGGTTGTACCAGTTGTGCTTGGGCCCAAATTGTGTGGTGAAAGTGGAATCTTCTTGCTGCAGGGTTACAAAAATGCCTGATGCCAATTTGAGTATCCTAAGTAGAAATCTTGTAAAATATAATAACTGAATAGAGACGTGCTATATGTCCTTCCCTACCATTCACGATAATAAGCATCGTTGTAGCTTGCTTGACAATTAAAATGCACTGCAACCAACTTTCAGTTAGGTTTTCAAGAATTGACCTGTGGTGAATGGCTGAGCTGAAGCAAATGAGATTTTGGGATGACAGGAACGGCTGTCCCTCTTACAGACTAAGGTCCTCGTTTTATTGTGTGTGTGTGGTTGGCTGGTATTGAGGCTAGGCAGTTTGGATGCAGCGGTAAGTATTCCAATTTTGCTCAAAAAGATGTGCGTGTATAGATTACACGGAGCAAAATTGGGGAGGAATAGAAAGAAAACCATATTTTTCTCCCCTCTAAAATAGCTAGTAATTTTAGTGACAGTGAAAGTTGTGTTTCATTAAACATGTAGATAGCATAGTTTTCATCCAAGTGATATAATTGTTATGGGCCTTTGCACGAGTTTCCTTTTGAAATGATTTTACTTGATCCATAGTAGACGAAGAAGATAGATTTTTTTTCTTTATTTCCAAGCACAGATTCTGTTCAAATTAGTTTCAACAGAGAACTGTTGGAGGCTAAGCGGTAAGAAAAGTTCATCGAATATACAGTTGGCCGTAGGGTCACTCTGAAGGTTTTCTAATCCCTATCTAATCCCCGTGAGAGATCACTTTGACAATCAATTGTATTGTCTCCACTATGACTTTGTCTTCTGTTTAAATTTTGATTTAGTGTAGACCTAAGGTAAGCCCTTTAGAAAACAAGATTGATAAGTTTCAGAGCAGCTGTCCCGGGATTTTATAGGCAACTAGGTTTACTGAGATTAAAAGCCACAGGCTAAACATACATTTGCTAAAGGCAAAACAATTGCAAGTTAATGCAGTACTCTTGCCTGTGTAGTCAGATAATTGGTAACAATGTCTTTTAGAACTAGTCTGTTTTATTAAATTAAAGGCACCTTGTCTGAAATGTTCTGCAAAGTGCACAATACTGGGGTACTTAAAACTTGAACAAACTTGTCCACAGCCCTAAGGTGTAAAATATTGGATCTTCATGTTGCAAACAATTATTTCTTTTAGCTCCCTGCTCTGTTTCTCTATCCAAACTTTTCCTCATAGTCACACATCTCATTTCTCCTTTCTGTTTGTGATTCTAGGCACAATTTGTGCAATTAGTTCAGATGCATATAAACAGCTGTTTAATCTAATCTTCAAATAATATATCTAACAAAAATACCTGATAGTAATAGCATGAGCAAAAGATTAGTTATTCCCAACCTATAGCAAGGGTGGGGAAGGAAGTGGATCTAATTAAATTTACGGATCTTACAAGAACCACAGCAGTGAGCAAGGATCTCTGACTTTTAATAAACATCTTAACCATGAGAGCAATTCCCCACCACCATCTGACATTAAGGAATGATGGGGTAACAAGGAGCGTGGGAGGGTTGATCTTAAGTTAGTTCTGGCACTCAAAGCTATTTTTTTTAAATTGTAAGTGTATCTTCAGCCCAGGGTTGATGGACATTCTTGGAGTTCTACTTGAAACACAAGGTAGTTCCTGCAAGCCTGAAGTTTGCCCAACCCTAATCTGCAGGTTCCTTATTCACTTTATTTCATTCATCCCACCCACACCTCTCCTAATGCAATACAGATACACCTGCAGAAGCTACTTATTCACTGTTTTCGGCAGGCATTGCCAAATCCAAGACTATAAATGCACAGCTGTTCATTTTTACATTAGTGCCCTGGATTTACTGTAAAAGTAAAGGAAAAAGCAGACTGAACAGGTTATAAAGCTAGTATGGCCAACAACAACAACAACCACCAAAAAAAAAAAACCACTCACACATACATATGTATTTTAGGTTTAATTAAATTTGGGAACAAGGGGTGTGGCTATACTGATTATGCTAACTAATAGCAAGTCTTAATGTGGTAAGAGGTTAATGTTGTAATTTAACCTTATGCTGTGTTTACACTGCTTTGCGTATAAATATAAAACTAATTAATGGGAGCATGTATATTGCACCATCCACTTGTGCCAAATTGCATTTTAATGCACAGTTACATATCCACATGGTTCAGAGGAAAACTGATACATATTTCAGACTACAAATTTATCCATCTTTACCTGGGAATAAATCCATCTAAATTCCACAGTATTTGCTTCTGACTGAGTGCATATACCTAATTTAATTACTATCACTCAACTAAGCCTTATTCCTGTGATTTTCATTATTTATCCTGAATAATCATGGAAATGGCACATGTAACTTGCAAAATCTGCTGACTCGGTTTTAAAATTCTCTAGTTCAAGAGGACATTTCCAGCCTTTCTGAAGACATGGCTTTCCCCCTCTTTTCCCTTAGTTATGTGTATAGATGTCTAACTAAATTGCTAAGCAGTTCATTGGTGTTCCTGCTGAAGATCTCAATTAAAAAATGTCTTGGGTTGGCTTTTAACGTCTAATATTGGCCTAATTCTTAAGGACTTTGTACCTCAGCCTTACTCTGAGAGTAAGATGAAGGGGGGGGGCTTTGCCTTTGAAAAGTGGTTTTGAATCTTCTAGTGAGCTAATTGTGTACGCTGCCTTTGTAAAATAGCAATTGTCTTTGGAGAACCCTGATTTAGAAATGCAGTCACCATCCAGTGATTTTTTTTGGGAAGTCCACTGGTGATAAGTTTACCCTATCATTCAAACCACTTCTCAGAATGGCTGATAGGAAGGTGGGAAAACAAAAGAGAAATGCAGTAAAAGTGTTTTAACAGCAATGTAGAAAGCAGTATTTCTAAAGAGGGAAGGTAGAATTAAATAGTAAAGATCTGATTAGACAGGAAAACCTAAGAAAAGGAAAGAAAAAGGATGTGACATAACAGTTTCTGTGGAGAGCCAATTATTGGAATACATACAGGTAGTCCTTGACATATGACCACAGTTGACCCGATAATTGCTGTTGTTAAGTGGGACATTTGTTAAGTGAATTTTGCCCCATTTTACAGCCTTTCTCGCCCCAGTTGTTAAGTGAATCGCTGCAGTTGTTAAATTAGTGACATGGCTGTTAAGTGAATCCAGCTTCCCTCCACTGACTCTGCTTGTCAGAAGCTCACAATAGAGGATCACGTGATCCTGGGGCACTGCAACCGCCATAAAAATGAGTCAGTTGCCAAGCAGCTGAATTTTGATCACATCACCAATGGGATGCTACAACGGTCGTAAGTCGCTTTTTTCAGCAACGTTGTAACTTCAAACTGTCACTAAATCAACTGTTGTAAGTCCAGGACTACCTGTGCTATTATTGACAGATTATTTTCTGGCATACCTTCCTGTTTCTGTTTCTAGTTCAGATTAGGAGCAGTAACCAGAGAAGGGGCTCTATGAAAGATCTTACGCATGCACGTATGAAGATAAGCATGTATATGACGCTGTCCACCCCTTAGAGAAAATCTAAACGGGGGTTCCTGCTCACCCAATGATTGTGGGTGGCAAAAGCAGTGGTGCTGTTTATTATTCTCTTGATTTGAATAGCTCCAATGATCTGCCCTTATGAACAAACTTGACTTAATTATGGTATGTTACCATTCTGTGTGGCAATAGGGGCTCTCCTTCCATCCAGTCATACATATCTGCAATTTGGATTGCCAAGCGTCATCAACTTTCCGAAAAACTGCTGCGCTACAGCCGCCACGGAAGATCTTGGAGAGTCAATTCTGCATGATTGGCATTTTACTTTAATGAAAACCATCCTTGTCGCACTGAGCAGTGGCAAATCTCTCCGCATTGTTTCATCAGTTGGGGCAGACTCAGAGATAAAATTTCAGTGGGGTGGAAAAATGGAGCATAAGACAGCACCATCCTATACAGATTGAGTTAAAAGTAAGTGCCATAGAGCTTGGAGGATTTTGCATAGCCTGCAATCCTCTAAATTCTTGAATTGTAGATGGAAAGGGAACAGTAATTACACAGTACCAAAGTTAGATTAGGGGTTTTTTTCCCCTGTGTGTTGGTTTTTTTTTTTATATATAAAACATTTTCATAGTCATTTGTAGGACATTTAGACTGGACTTAGATATCCATGAAAATAAGTTGCCCTGAGCACATGTGGTAACCTACAACATATTTAGGATGGAATTTTGGGGAACTTATAAAGCAAAATCATAGGCTATGAAGGTAACCCAGGGATTACAAGCACATAGAAGGAGAGGTAAACAGCAGCTGTCTGTGGCTTGTTGTTCTGATGAACCCTCCCTAGCCACTGGGTAAGCTGTTGCTCTGACGTGGGCAGGGTGGAAATGGGAAAATGGAAGGAAGAGAAAGGAGTGAAGATAAAAGTGAACGCAAGGAAAAACAAATCCCCAGTCTTGGGTGGCCAGACTTTGAGACAGGTCTAATGGGGAGTGTGGAAGGTGTGCTTGTGTAAGAATGGGGAGGTCAGGGATGTTTGTTAAAAGGTAGGTTGAGGATTTTTGGGCAGTAGGGTTTTAAGAAGTAAAGCATGAAGATTTGAGGCGGGTGAAATTCACAGACCAAAACTCAAGGGCTGGGAACATTTTGGAATGTTTTTTTTAGTTTCCTTTCAGATGGCTGGCAACTTTAAAAGGGCTTACAAGAAAATAGATCTAGCCCATCTCTGGAAAGACTTAATTTCTTGAGGCAGGTCTCCAAAGTCCTATAGTAGATTCTGCTTTGGAAATACATCTTCATATTACCATTCAGACATCAGCAACTCTGCCTTTACTCTACCTGCACCTTCTACCTCTCATGATAACCTCCTGAAACAGGTGTTTCATCCTGTGATGTGGAAAGCCAAGAGCACAGGATAGTATTGCCACATACACCAGCATGCATGGGGCATTGATACAAAGGGGCATAGCAATCAAGAAACTAAGATCAACAGTTGAGTTCAAACTAAACCAACTAAAGTAAGCTGAAAAACATTTGACTTTTGTTCCTGCTTATCTGTTCTGCCATGCAAATGCATGTTTCTTTTGAAATTGCATTAGATGGCCCTAAGCTGTGATATTTTTTTTTTCAGGCATTGGAGGAGAAGAAATTTTTGAATGATGGCCACCTTGCCATAGCCACAGTAACACTAATGTTTATTTAGTCTGAAATCTAAAAACAAAAATTTAAAGGATTGTAATAACAATAGAACTATCTAAATCACAAGCGTCCAAACTTTTGGCTCGTCTGGGCCGCATTGAGTGGAATTGTCTTGGGCCACATATAAAATATATAATATAGTTAATGTATATAAAACAGACAATGCTAAAGGTTTATGATCTTATGGGGCCACATTACTAGCTGTCCAAGGCGGCATGTAGCCCATGGGCTGCAGGTTGGACATGCCTGATCTAAATAATATATATTATGCTGAAGCTCACAAAAAAAGCCCCCAGCATTTAACCACACAGGTTGACTTCACTTAATATCTTGTCCCAAGTGAGTGGAGGAAGAGCCAAGTTTTTAAGGCATTCCTAAAGGCTAACAAGATCAGGGCCATCCATGTCTCTGGAGATACATTGCTCTTGAAAAGGCATATCTCCTGAGCCCCATTATATGACACAAGTTTATAGAAGGGACCTGGTGCATTCCAGGTGCATTCTGCTGGATCTGATGAGACAAACAGAAGCAATTAAGATAAGCACTCCTTGCAATACCTTGTGTCTCTGCCTTGTAGGGTTTCAAAGGTGACAACTAGCATCTTGAATTGTACCCAAAAGCCTACTGAGAAACACTGCATTTCATGGAGTAGAGGTGTTACCTGAGCATATCACAATGTGCCCAAATTGTGGCATTCTACTGTTGCTGAGGATTCCAAATGAAATCACTGTGATAAAAAATTGGCACTATGCCTAGCTGAGTCATAGCTATAACATTTATGCCTCTGTTACTAAAAAAGTGTCAGACCCAGTCTTAATTGTCCTTAGAGTCAACCTGCTGAAGTCCATGATACTTTGGCTAATCTTAAATCACTTAAATCCCATTAAGTTCAGTACAGTAGGTCTGTTTGAAGCAAAACTAAGTGTTCACCCAGCTCAGTGTGTGTTGGTTTTGCTGTTGTGTAATTCCTTGATTGGCCTTGGCATACTTGTTTCCAGCCTAAACTGGAGATGTTGAGGGGAATAATGATTAAGGAATACTAATTATGGAATTAGTGATTATGGAAACGCTAATTATCTCTTTGCTTTTCTCATGTTCAGAATTTCAATGAAAGAAATCAGTTGGAAGTTTATGATTTAATGTGGTTAGGTTAAAGATTAGGTGCAGGTTTAATTATTGTACAGCAATTCATTTTTTCAAGTTGAAATTTTAAAGTAAGTAAAACCTACTCTATAAAATATTTAAAAATGCTCTGTTCAATTTCAGACCTAACCTTTGATTTCATCTTCTGCATGAGTTCTGTTTTACTTTCTATCTGTATATGACTACATAACCTATGTCTGTTTTTCTTCTTCATGTCCTCTTTTTCTTGGCACTCCGTCTTTTTAGTTTACTCCCCCTTAAAAAGTACCACCAGAAAATATGCTTTAGGTTTTAGGCTTGCTTTGTTTCACTTGTATTTGAGATTTAGATCCCAGTCTGCGTAGCAAAGCTAACAAATCAGATGACCTTAATTCAAATTTTTGTTTAACCATGAATATATGAATGAGAAACCAGGATTATATTGAGAAAGTAGATAAGACTTCTGTTCTACTTGCTTGAAATTCTGAGAGCTGCTCTCCCAAGTCATTTGGAAAAAGCTGGGTTGGAGAACACAGGAGGAGATGACACATAGTACACATTCTCAAAACAATTGCACAGCACTCCTGAAGGCTTTTTTAGCCACTGAAGCATGAACTTTTATGTGCCCCTCAGTTCACAGTTTAGAGTAAGCAAATAGTAGACAGACAACCACGTGGCTGATAGACTTGCCTGGCTTGATAAACACCGGATGCATCTGTTGTAGTGAATGTTCACAATGCTTTCCTTGGACCTTTGCGTGTGTTTACTGGATGGAAGGGTTAGGTCACTGTAGGTTCCCCCCAAGTGAATGCCTAAATTCATCCAAATACTTTTCATTCAGGGCCCTCTTGAGTCAAATCACTGGGTGTGCTTTTTGCAAAGTTGTCTGTAATTAAGATAAAAATCTTTTGGATGGTAAGTTTTGTAAATTATGAAACTTGTGGCATAATGCTTTTGGAACCGATTGGGGAAGACTGACATGAAAGCTGCAGCTGGGTGGTTGTTTTTTTTTTTTTTAAAGAAATCTCAGAAATGCAATCCCTTTCCTTGATCCTTAGTCACTTTTTAATTACTCTCACAGGGCCCCTGCTAACCACCGTGTTAAAAAAAAATAATCTTTAATGCCCTTGAATTCCAGAGCAATGCCTCACATTTCTTCCCCCTTATTACGACCACCTGGAATTCAGAACACAATCCGTTGGGACTGAAAGGCAGGACAGCAGCCAGAGCAATATTAAAGCTTCACGAAACTGATAAGTAGAAAGACAAAGGGGCAGATTCTGGGTGTAAATGTGCGCTGGTTTTTATGCAAAGGTGGTTTGAAAGCGTCGGTTCAGCAACTCAGGCGTTCTGCTGCAAGGTCTAAATTACTGATTGCCCCTTTTGCTTTTTTTCCCCTTCGATCAGAAACCCTGGAAGAGCTTCCAGAAAGAAGTGGGAAGACATCTCGGCGTTTCTTCTTTAACTTAACATCTATCCCTGGTGGGGAGATTATCACTTCAGCTGAACTGCAGGTTTTTCGGGAGCACATCCAAGATGCCACCGAACACGACGGCAGCTCTCATCACCGTATTAATATTTATGAAATTCTCAAACCGGAACGAGAGGCAACCAAGGATCCTGTCATAAGCCTCCTGGACACCCGCTTGGTGCATCACAACGCCAGCAAATGGGAAACATTTGATGTGACGCCAGCTGTAATGAGATGGATTGCGCGTGGACAACCTAACCTCGGTTTTGTGGCAGAAGTGGTACATTTGAACAATGCCAGCAATGTGTCCAAGAGGCATGTCAGGATCAGCAGGTCACTGCATCAAGATGATGCTAGCTGGTCTCGGATTAGACCCTTACTGGTCACTTTTGGGCATGACGGCATGGGCCACCCACTCCATAAGAGAGAGAAACGTCAGGCCAAACACAAACCACGCAAGCGCCATAAATCCAATTGTAGAAGGCATCCTTTATATGTGGATTTCAATGATGTAGGGTGGAATGACTGGATCGTGGCCCCTCCAGGTTACAGTGCCTTCTATTGCCATGGAGACTGTCCCTTCCCATTGGCAGATCATCTGAATTCCACCAACCATGCCATTGTTCAGACACTGGTCAATTCTGTGAACTCCAAAATTCCCAAAGCTTGCTGCGTGCCGACAGAACTGAGTCCCATTTCAATGCTGTATCTTGACGAGAATGAAAAGGTGGTACTAAAGAACTATCAGGACATGGTTGTGGAAGGATGTGGGTGCCGCTGAGGCAACAGCAAAATTAAAGGGACAAATGGAACAGAAAAAGTAACACACATACACAAAACATACACACAAACACACACACAACTTGACACTTTAATATTTCCCAATGAAGACCTTATTTATGTTATGATATGGAGAATTAAACACATCTATTTTGAAAATCTATTTATGTCTACAGAAAAAAAAGCGAGGAAAGATATTTTAATCAGAGAATTATTCCTTTTAAAGATTTTTAAAACATATTTTAGTTGTACATTTTATATGGGTTTAACCCTACCCCCCCTTCCCACAGCACATGAAGTATAAAGGTCAGATTCTTATTTTGTATTTATTTACTATTATAACCACTTTTTAGAAGAATAGCTAATTTGTATTTATATGTGTAATCCAAAACCAGCAGAAGAAAAAAAACAATATATATAGGGTTTTGTACATAATTTAAAGTGAATGGTAGCTGTTTTCAGTTGTGTGTATTTAAGTTGAAATGCAGAAGGGCTGTTATGGCAAAGATGCATATATCCCATTTTGCTTTTTGCAGTTCTACTGTTAAGGTCACAAGTGTAAACCCAATGAAAAAGGGCTAATCCACCCTGCTGACTCAAGATTATATTGTACAATTCTCAGGAATGCTGCAGGGTGGGCTGTCCACGCTGTGAGAAACTCCACGCTCTCGTAGAACCAGGCTTTGCCCAGCAAATGGGAAAGGACGACTGTCCCCACATGAAGGCCCCAATGGGGCTGCTAGGAAACGTTTCTGTCCCTTTGCTTCTTCTCAGCACCTACCGAAAAGCAAAATGTTGACGCTGTTCCTTCCCTTCGAAGGCATCTGTCCTTTGGAATCCATTGTCCTGGCCAAATACTTAATAAAAGACCAGATTTCCTCCGTTTTCTAAAGCTTCTTCCTATTCGCCTTTCCTAACAGTTGTGAAAATGGGGCGTTTTGTTACAGAGCCTCAGAGTGCTAAGGGGGAGAACCAAGCATATCGTTCCTACTTGGGAGGCAAAAGGTGTGTAATGCAGTACTGCATCGCAGTGGGGAGAAGCCGAAACTATGGGGGTGACACTCTAGCACTAAAACACACTGTTCATAAAACATCTTTCTCTGGAAAGAGAGGTCAGGTTTCAGTCAGTAATCTCAGACCCTTTCCCATTTTTCATATCTGAATGCCATATGCCTGTAAAAAGACAGTAATATACATTGGTTTGCATATTACATTTATATCCCACTGCAGTCCAGTTAAGGACTTTTAATGGTTTGCAAATATATAACAATAATAGAGTTGAAAGGGACCTTGGAGGTCATCTAGTCCAACCCCCTGCTCAGGCAGGAAACCTTCTATCATTTCAGGCAAATGGTTGTCCGATCTCTTCTTTAAAACTTCCAGTATTGGAGCATTCACAGCTTCTGGAGGCAGGTTGTTCCACTGGTTCATTGTTCTAACTGCCAGAAAATTTCTCCTTAGTTCCAGGTTGCTTCTCTCCTTGATTAGTTTCCATCCGTTGCTTCTTGTCCTGCCTTCAGGTGCTTTGGAGAATAGCTTGACTCCCTCTTCTTTGTGGCAACCCCTGAGATATTGGAGCACTGCTATCATGTCACTCACTGTACATTTAAAATGTCCATGATGAAAACATTAAAAACTGCTGATTATGTAGCCCAAGTCAATTTGTGATCGATCTCGGCAGTTTCGTTTAGCAATTAAATGGGGGGGGAGAATTCACCTTCTGGAAGCCCACAAAGAAGCTGTTACAGAGCGGATGGCTGCTACTATCACCAACTGGAACTGGCTTCTGAGGAAGGTGCAGGCCCAGGGCCTCCAACTGCCAAAGGGCAGTCTGTAGTTGATGGTATCAAAGGCCATTGAAAAGAGTGGGATGGATGTACTCTTGTCCAGGTCACTAGAATGGTCATCCATTAGCTCAGCTATTGTCATCTCTGTTCCTTGTTTTAGTCTGAACCCTGATGGGAAACAGTCCAGATAACTGCTTTCTTGTGGGTGCTTCGTGATTCCCCACCCTTGTTATAACAAACTTTTCTAAAACGGCCGATTTGGAAACTGGGTGGTAGTTACCAGTAGCTAACCCCATTGGATCCTTATGGGGCCCTTGAGGACTGGGGACGAGAACATCTCAGCCTCTTTCAAGTTTGCCAATAGCAAGCACCCACACGTCCACACACACCCCCTAACACACACTTTTTCAATGAGACATTGATTGTTTCGCAGATATAGATAACTCCTGCCTGGCTATCCACAGGAACTCAAAAGAGCCAGGATCCAGCCTACGGGAGGCAGAGAATGTACTGGAAAACATCCATTTCATCAGAAGGGACAGGCCAAAGGGGTTCCAGGTAACCTGACACCACACCATCCCAGTCTCCTCCCTGGACAAGGGCCATGCAGAATCAACAATAGAGCAATTCTTAGTGATTTGGTTAGCAAAGTTCTGGGCTACCGGTCACAACAGCTAGGCAAGTGCTTTTGATACTTCCTAAAAGCCAATATACCATCCAAAACAAGGCTCCTGGGTGGCAACCTGCAAATATAATAGAAGAGGAGAGATAAAATGGATTTGCCTCCTTTATCACCACAGCTCAGGACCAAATATTTGAAAACAGATCTTTGGATATTTGCTCATAAACATATTCTTGATGGTATTTCAGTTTGGCCTTCTCCAAACTCAATTTTAGTTCTATTTGAATCATATTGTCTCTGCAGAAAGAAACAGACATTTTTTAATTTCTTTACATATCTCCTTCATTAATATCCTTCCTTCCTTGTACAGAGGTTGACAGTACCCATGATTATTCTTTTATTCTCACAGCCCTGCGAGGTAGGTAAGGCAAGATACTCCTATTCAAGCCTTCTGACTGAGTAGGAATTTCAGCCTAGCTTTTTTTTTTTTTTTTGCTAAAACCTAGGTTGACTAATACTGTATAAAATATTCTGACAAATCCAGCTTGCAAAACATTCATATAGCTGGTAAGACAGAGATAAGATTTATACTGTGCATTTCTGTTTTGCAGATAGCATTATAGTATATGCAATGTCCATAGTTTTCTTACAAAAACCCAGCTGGCCGTGCTCTTGAGTGCAATATCGGCAACATTAAATTAATTAGCTTCGCTTTGGATTTACCATATTTTTGCCTATCATGAGCCTGTTCTTATTAATCATGCCCCTTTATTTAAGTAAAAGGCCATTGAAAGGTTTAAAATACAAACCCATCCACACAAAATCAGTCTCTTTATTTGCAGCTACTGCTGTGCAAGCATAAATCGGGCTTTATTTTAAAATGTAGAACAATATCAGAGAACAATCCCTTTCACTGCTTATCCGTTCTTGAGATCTCTGATAAGTGATGTTATTTCATCTAAACAATAGGTGCCCACTGTGTCTTCTTCTCATGTTCCTTGATCTGCAACAAGTAGCCTTATAGACTCAGTCTAATTTGCTACCATGTTATCAAGAGTGGAAATGGCAATCATGTTTTCAGTTGCACAAGTCCCTGGCAACTTCAAACCGAGTAAAAAGCAGTTGGTGTAAGTATCAAGTTATGTGATGGAGATACAGCAGGCTCAGTCACCACTTTTAATACAGCAGTGAGCTGGTAACCACTTACAAACTATGTATTTCCCACTTGCATTTGTGAAACAAGTTTATAGCATTCCTTTTGTCATTCAGTTCTGCTAATAAATTTCTTTATATGCATTTGCTCTTGGGAAGTTATTTAAGGTCCAAATACAAGAGTTGCTCCTTTATAACCCTCGCTGAAAAGGCAGCTGATCTGGGTTACATGTTCTCAACATGAATCAGAAGAGATTAATTGCTGATCTAATGTTTATTTTAAAGTGTTAATTGCTAACAAACTGCTAGTCATTATTTGCAACATTTGGCTTTCATCCTTCAGTTCCTTTATTTTGGACTGATGTTACACTTTGCTCCCAAATGCCCATTATGAAAACTTTGCACACCGTTGCCACACAGTTTCAGGAACAGTTTTACACTTCCTAGCAGTGTCAGTTTGGTTTAATAGTTTGTTTTCATTGTGTACGAGTACAAACCTTTCTGATCCTACACATACTTTTCATTACTCATTCACTGTTTTTCTGATTCTGCCAATGAAGTAGCTTTATTTTAGCTATGTGCAAACACTCCAGGCATTCACAGGACAAAATGCTTTTCAATTCACACTCTTCTCTGTCTTTTTGTATCACTTTCTATTTTTGAAGTGGTTGCATGGCAGCGGGGTGCAGTACTGTGTAATATATTATAGAACCAAGTAGATGAGTGGAATAAAAAGTCGAAGGATACAGCTGTTTAGATAAAACAAACAGCTCTTTGTGCTTCTGAACTAGCTTGTAAGTGGATGGTTGAAATCAAATTAAATCAGGTTTCACTCCAAGGTAAGACAGTAAAATGGGCATTCAATTTTTTAGAAAATAAATTGCAGAAAAAAATACATGTGCTGATATTTGTGAATAGCGGCATATTAAGAATCTAGAACAACAATTCTCATTTGGCTGAAAGCTGTGGTTACAAAAGCTACATGACTGTTCATTCTGTAATTTCCAAGCTCCTCCTCACCTTGTTACGAACCCAGAGGTTTAGCTGAAATTTGTAAAGGTCTTCAAAGAGAGGATGCCTTCAAATGGAGAAGTGTCCATTTCATAAAAAATTCCTTCTCTCTATTATAGGAACTATGATTGCTCTGTTTTCCTTTTGGAGTCTAAATGTTGCACAAGATAATGCCCATTATTTCTAAAACCTCTCAAATGGAAAGTAGATTGTCTTCTCAATTCTGATTTTTCAATGCTGCTGCTTCTGCTTATTTTGAGAAGGTAGATTCCAGACATTTCAGGTTAAACTAAGACTTAGCCACCTGATGGTTAGTCTCTTGGGATCATAAATCTTGGAATACAGCTTCATTAATTCTTAGTCTAGATGGTGAAAGATGATCCAGATGGTGATCAAGACAACTGGAATTTGAAGAGCTTCAGATTTGCTGATTTAATAGGTTTCAAACATATTGGACCATTATCTCTTTAATCAAGGTTTGCTGATGATTTGCTGCTTATGACTATAATAGATTTTATATATGTAAGACCATTGTTTCTTTAAACATGGTTTGTTGGTTATGCATGGTTAGGCCTATGGTTAGGCCATGGTTCACCAACCATAATGGCTCAGTTTGCACAAGCTAAGCTACAAACCAACCAGTGTCTGACTTATGCAATCTGTGAGCAAGACTTAAAGCATCAGGGACATGGACCAGCCATTCTTGATCCACTTGTCGAATCTTGTTCTTGCATGTCTTTGGTAGGAAAAATGAAGGGACTTGCTACTATAAAACGCAGATTGCATTTATACCTTTTTTTTAAAGCCCCTTCAATAATGGGATGGGGAAAAGGAAAAAAAATAGTTTTGGTGAGCAATTTAAACAGCAATTTTCACCCAGCTTGTTTCTATGTGGCAAAGAGAGAGGACTTGCATCTGGACAAACTCTGTACTGACTGGTGGGCGGGGACCTTCTTCTGAAAGAAAGCTGGGCTTCTGCAATGGGAAAAGGGTGGGAATGCGAAGGAAAGCAAGTCAGGGGCTGGGAATGAGGGGAGGAGCCTGATTTAATTTTGGAACAATTGAAATTAAGTTCCAGGCACCTGTTGTCACCTCAAGGGCTATGGATACGGTTGAGTTATTGTCTTTCTCCACTCCCCCTTTTTGAATTCCTTTCAAGTAAAAGGATGTATTTCTCCCAAAGGCCCTTTAAATTTACTCCACCCTCTGAAAATCGATCTTTAACATACAATCTCCTCTCTCTCTCTCTCTCTCTCTCTCTCTCTCTCTCTCTCTCTCTCTCTCTCTCTCTCTCTCTCTCTCTCTCTCTCT